TTGAAGAAAAGAAGACTAGGAGAGAAAAGGAGAGGAAGAGGAGGAGTGGGATGGATGAGATGAGGAAAGTGAGAGGGGAGGGATGGAAGAGAAGAGGTAAAAAATAGAGGATAAGCAAAGAAGGGGAGAAAAGATGAGATGAAGAGGAGAGTGATGAAAAAAGAGAGGAAATGAAATGAAAGTAAAAGAAGCGAATGGAAGGGGGGAGGAGAGAAGAGGAAAGAGAAGTGAAAAGGACAATGATGAAAGAGGAGAGGATGTGAACAGAGATGAGGAAAAAGAGAGGATAGAAGATAGGAGGAAGGAAAAGGAAGAGAACATGAAGAGAAGAAAGGGAAGGGAGGGGGGAGAGAAGAGACATGAAAAAGAAAAGGAGAGGAAGAAGAGAGGAGAGAAAGATGAGCGGAGAGGAATATGGAGGGGGGAAGAGGAGGGAGAAAGCAGAGAAGAGGAAAGGAAAGGGAGAGAGAGCAAAAGGAGAGAAGATCAAGAAGAGAAGAGTTGAAGAGGAGAGGCTGAGATAAGCAGAGCAGAGAAAAGGAAGAGAAGGGGAAGAGGAGTGCAGAAGAGGAGATGAGAGGAAGAGAAGGCATATGGAAATGATGAGCACTAGATGAGGAGAGGAAAGGCGTGAAGGGTAGAGGAAGACAAAAGGTGGGCAGAGGAAAGGGAAGAAAATAGTAGAAGATAAAGGAAAGGAGAAAGATCAGGAAGGAATAGAAGAGGATGAGAAGTGAGCACAGGAAGAAGTGTTATCTCCACATATGGGAAGATTTCTTTACTGTAAGAGCTGTAAAAATGTGGAATACACTTTCTCCGGCACTGGTTTCAGCCAACACTGCAGATTGTAACAAACAGCTGAATATATTAACCAATACACAAAATACAAAGAAAGAATATTTTATAGGAACGACATTGTACAATTTCCTTTGGGGATGAGGAAGAGATTTTTTCCCCCTGCTGGAGCAACTGTGACCGCACTTTATAAGGATTGTTTGGCTTATTCTGGATCAAATGCAGATTTGGGGTTACGAGAACGCAAGGTGCCTTTTTTTAAACTTGACATTGATGGGTGCGCGTCTTTTGTCATCCTCACCATGTCAATATGAGTAAGAGGGAGACAGTGAGAGGGAGAAGAGGAGAAGTCAGGAGGTGAAGGAAAGGAGGGGGAGGAGTGATTGGGGAAAATGAAGAAGACAGCAGAGGAGAGGTAGAGAGAGAGAAGATTGGAGGGAGGTGAGGAGGAGGAAGAGGAGAAGAAGAAAAGTCAGGAGGTGAAGGAAAGGAAGTGGAGGAGTGATTGGGGAAAATGAAGAAGACAGCAGAGGAGAGGTAGAGAGAGAGAAGATTGGAGGGAGGTGAGGAGGAGGAAGAATGTACTTTGGATGGCCGGTGGGAGACGGCAGAAAGTTGGACTCGGCACATTCAGTCCCACGGGGAGCCCCATTCAGACACAATGTACATTCGGCACACACAGGATGGCGATGTAGTGTATTGTGAAGAGCGCGGAGGGGAGACATCGCTCTGTACCAAGTGATATATATAGCCTGTGCCAGATTTACTCCGATGCAATTCTGTGGGCGGGAAGACGGCGGTGGATCCTGCGGTGCACAGACAGAACAAGGAAACAGGAGGCTAGGGAGGGAGGACGGGGTCTGAGAGGGTGACAGTCAATGTACACTTACCCTGATGTTATCCTGCCAACGGTGAGATCTCTGGAACTCCTCCGCAGCGCGAGCCAACCTCTGCAAGACAAGAGCCAAACAACATCATTAATAGCAACGCAATACACCTAACAAGCCGCAGCGGACCGGGCCGGCCAGAAACGAGGTTTTTGGCTGCAAGCGTCCTCATTTTTGTCTTGTTTTTTTCGGGCTTTTGGCCATTTTGAGAGTTGTAAATGCCCGAGGCCCCAAACTATTCATTAAAGGAGAACTATGGGGGTCAGTGTTTTTCCCCATAGTTCTCCTTAGGGTAACGGGAGGACACAAACTAGCGTCCTCACGTCACCCTAAGCTCAGTATATAGGGAGCTACAGCTCGCGGTATCCTGAGACGCCGCAGCGGATCCCGATGTAGATGACGGAATCCGCCGAGCTGCGTGAGTGACAGCTGGCTCTGCCTATCTAGAGACATTAAGCTGCGACCCAGGTCACACTGCAATGGAACGCACAGCATTAGGGTACCGTGCGTTCCGGTGCAGCCCTACGAACTGAGGGCGGGAGGTGAGTTTGGGGTACCATTCAAATGAATGGCAACTAAACAAATCTCCCGCACCAGAATGCATGGTAGGTGCGATTAACGCACTGTACTAGTGTAAACAGGCTCTCAAAACACTGACAGACCCACATACACACTTTTTTAAGGTCCCCCCCAGTCTCCTTATCTTATGGGTACTGGAGTGGATCCTCGGCCTGGGGTCCAGTGTGGGCTGCTGTGACGGAGCTCCATCCATATGTGCGTTGCTTGCACAGATCCCTTGCGTGCCCTGTAGAGGTGCCGGGAGCCAGAATGTGACATCACTCCGGTCTAGGCACCTCTACAGGACACATGAGGGAGCTGTAAGCAATGCACGTATGACTGGAGCTCCCTCATGGCCATACCCCCAGCCCACCTCAAGCTGACTCTCGGCGCCGCGCTGCATATTTTGATTGGCTGATTGGCGCTAGAACTGACGGTGCTGCGCTAGGGGAGGCTGAGGAGCCTCTCACCTAGAAAAGTGGAAGGCATGCAGGGACCCAGTGAACACAGGGCCGCGACCCACTTTTGGGTCACGTCCCACCAGTTGAGAACCAAGGCCTTAAAGTATATGTCCTGGCATACGTGTGCAATACATGCACAATTCCTTGCGTTTATCCCTTTAAAGACTGTCCATGTACACAATCACACCTGATTTGTTATAAATGCACTCAGCTCCTAATTCCTGTTGTCGGCTTACAGCGCACTGCATTTTATGTGGACTGAAAGCTCAAGAAATGGTGTCAGCCGTGCCCAGTCGTCTTTTGCTAAACGACATAATTCCTCCCACTCTCCTTTTCTAGAACACGGATTAATTCTGTAGTCCAAGGTAAGAACCAGGAGGACTCATTCGACTCCTTGAGATAACACAGGCAGAAGTCAACAGGACAGCTGTAAACTTCTGACGTCATCAAGAAGTATATGAACAGATACAGTCAGGGGCGTAACTAGAAATCACAGGGCCCCATAGCAAAATGTTGTATAGGGCCCCGTGATTGCTAGTTATGCCACTTGCAGAGCCCACCATAGACTCTCTATGGTGGGCTCTGCAAGGTCTCAGTTGGGCTGTACGCCTCTTACCTGTCAGCGTTGTCCATCTCCGTGGTCGCGGCCGCCGGGCCCCTGCTTCCTCTTCTGTCCTCGGGCTCCGCCTCCTATCGACGGGCCCCGCCTCCTCTGACATCACTGGCCCCCACCTGCTCCTAGATCGCTGGCCAGTGATGTGAGTTTGTACTCTCATACTGTACTTTATGATCTGCGCAGGGAAGAGTTTCTCTGAATTCCTTCCACGCTTTAGGTCTTTGAGGTTCCGCAGTATTTGCGCACAGAGCAGTACTTATTCTGGACACAAGGGGGCAGCAGAGCAATGGGGAAAAATGGCCGACCACAGGTCTCCTTGTGACCCTGAGCGGGGCAGGACATCCATCCGACATGTCATATTGCGTCCATCACATCATCTACAAAGACATTTTCCACACCGTCCACTCAACAATTCCCCGACTAAAAATGAGCCAAATCTGCATGAAAAAAAAAGGGTCCGCCTGCGCCCGCCATCATCACGCTCTGCCGGGTAAATCGTCATTTCACAGAGAAGAATACAGTGTTATGCCGGTCTGTGCTCCTTCCTGTCTGTCCAGCCTCCTCTCTGTACCCATCTCCTTCCTTGCTCAATTTTGTTTATCTCATTTCCCGCTTAGATACTTTATTTCATGTATAGTGGTTGGCACTCCTGCCGTGCAGTGCTGTGGCCCTGTGTGTCTCATGTATAGTGGTTGGCACTCTTGCCATGCTGTGCTGTGGCCCTGTGTGTCTCACATCTAGTGTTGGCACTCTTGCCGTGCAGTGCTGTGGCCCTGTGTGTCTCATGTATAGTGGTCGGCACTCCTGCCGTGCAGTGCTGTGGCCCTGTGTGTCTCACATCTAGTGGTTGACCCTCTTGCCGTGCAGTGCTGTGGCCCTGCGTGTCTCATGTATAGTGGTTGGCACTCCTGCCGTGCAGTGCTGTGGCCCTGTGTGTCTCATGTATAGTGGTTGGCACTCTTGCCATGCTGTGCTGTGGCCCTGTGTGTCTCACATCTAGTGTTGGCACTCTTGCCGTGCAGTGCTGTGGCCCTGTGTGTCTCATGTATAGTGGTCGGCACTCCTGCCGTGCTGTGCTGTGGCCCTGTGTGTCTCATGTATAGTGGTTGGCACTCTTGCCATGCTGTGCTGTGGCCCTGTGTGTCTCATGTATAGTGGTTGGCACTCTTGCCGTGCTGTGCGGTTAGATACTTTATTTCATGTATAGTGGTTGGCACTCCTGCCGTGCAGTGCTGTGGCCCTGTGTGTCTCATGTATAGTGGTTGGCACTCTTGCCATGCTGTGCTGTGGCCCTGTGTGTCTCACATCTAGTGTTGGCACTCTTGCCGTGCAGTGCTGTGGCCCTGTGTGTCTCATGTATAGTGGTCGGCACTCCTGCCGTGCAGTGCTGTGGCCCTGTGTGTCTCACATCTAGTGGTTGACACTCTTGCCGTGCAGTGCTGTGGCCCTGTGTGTCTCATGTATAGTGGTTGGCACTCCTGCCGTGCAGTGCTGTGGCCCTGTGTGTCTCATGTATAGCGGTTGGCACTCTTGCCGTGCAGTGCTGTGGCCCTATGTGTCTTGTGCCTAGTGGTTGGCCTCCTCCCAGCCTGGGTCTGCTGAGCCTATGTTTGGGGGGATATTAGAGTGTGAGCTCCTGTGGTGGTCGGGACGGATGTGATTGGTTTGCTGTTCTCTGTACATTACTTTGTAACGTCTGTTATTCAATGCGGGAAATCTTTATTGTCCTGTCTGCTGGATGTCACCCGTCTGTCTGTCTGTTGGCTCCTCTGTCTGTCTGTCTGACTATTTCTTCAGCAGATCTGTGACATGCAGCACACACATTACATGCGAGTTCAGAGATTTGCAG